CTGGTATGGGGGATCCCTAGAATAGAGTTGAAGTGTGGTTAGGTTCCTGAAACGCATTACTGCCTGTGGGCAAAAAGGGGATTTGTCCAAAACAGTATGGCGCGGGACGCACTGTGGAGGTAATCCATCTGGCCAGGTAGTGTTCCACGTCATCGCAACCAAAAAGCTCACGATAGATGTGTTCCACTGTTACCCGGACCTTTGATTCCGTCATTCTGGCCGAAATAGTTAAGTTGTATGGTATTGCCTGAGGGATTAAGAAGTTGTATAACAGAAATTGAAAAAAACACACACACTGAAGGAACTAAACGTTGCATTTGAAGGCGTACGTGTTGTAAATGTAGACGGCTGTTAAATCCAAAGGCGCGAAGAATAGGCCATAGGGCCTGGAGGTCGCCCTCCTGGTCGTTTATGTGTTCCAGATGGAATTGGTAAAGATCCTCGAGCGTAATTTCACTATTGTTTCCACCCCTTGCTTCTAAAGAAGACCACATGTGACCAAATAAGCTAACAGCACTAATCCGGACATTTATCTTACATAGAAAGGCTGTGCCGCGTGTAAAGACAAGTACCTAGTACGATCTTACTAACTCCTCCGAAATAGCCTGCTGTCCAATTAACCCCGAAATTTATATATTGGTCGCCTGCTCCGTGAGTTCTGAGAACCTAGTAAATTATCAGAGTCATTTGGAAGTCAGACAGAGCTTCTAGGCCCTTAGATCTCAGTTCAACCAAAATGAGGGTACCAATGGGTGATGTCTGAAGCTGCTTTTTTCCAGGCGGTACTGTTGGAAATGTAGTATGTCAGTGGCAACCATATTTTTGCCTCGAAGGGATACGGGAATAACTGAAAGGCGACTGAGCCTATGCGCAGAGGCTTATGAAGTTGAAGATGTAGATTCTAATACCGGTCAACGAGTGCATCTAAACTACAGAAATGACGGTTTATTTCGAGTGTGCCTTGGATCCATGACAGGAGGTGTGACTTACTGGTCAGAGAGCACGAGGTTTTGCTAGAATGCTTGTAGTGACTAGCTAAACTCGGAGTGCGCATGTGAACGCCTGTCGCGACTAGCTTAAGTCGAAGTGCACTTTCGGAACGCTGGCTACTTCCGGCCTCTGTAACAGCCAATCACAGGCCGACTGACACAGGATCTCATGTGATGACTGCCGAGCAGACCTCACTTCAGACGCCGTCCGCTGGCTTGCGATTGTGCGGCCGACTGGTAGTCAATTTCCTTCTGCCTATTCTCCTATTCATTCTTACAGAATATACTCTTCCTTACAATTCGGCTTTCCCAAGACTTCTTCCATCTCTTAAGAAACCGAGCCTGGAAGATCGCAGCCGTTAGCGTTAATTAAAATAGCCTTAACATTTCTAGACATGCTCTCGTCCTC